TCCCTGAAGATGGGGGAAAAAGCTTTATTCCTTAAAACTAACCATCAGGCTGGACAAGAAACATCCCTGCTATGTGAACTGAGTTAAGGATTATGGTATCAGGATACAGCCTTTCTTTAGAGATGCAAATAACTGAAAAAGGGGGAATAATTGACTGGTTTAAGAAATGCAGCACCCAGAACAGTAAGTACAACATTGTTGATCTTTATTCTCTGCAAAGAAGCTGCCTCATGGAGGCAGCTCTACAAGCCTGGCTGTAACACCAGCTGTTCTAAATCAGTATTAAGGACAGTCACTGCCCTGGCCCAGCAGCTTCTTAGCTTCTCCAACCACTTCTGAAAGGGGGAGGGAAGACAACAGGGTGATCAGTTCAGGCACAGCCTTGTGAGTTAGTGCCTTCTAAGGGCTGTTGGCTAGAGCTGAAAGAGGAGTGACGATGGAGAAGTGGGGAAAAAAAAAACACCTTTGTGTTGAGAGCCTAACTTTCAGTAAAAGTCCTTAATCACATCTTCTGAAAAGCTGTCTTCATACTTGATACTTCATCTGTGTTAAGAGCCAGCGTTTTTTAAACCTTGCTGCTCTTTGCTTTTTTTCTTGCCCTTAAAAAAAAAACAAACAGAAAAAGCTGTTAGTTACCATTTTCCTAGCTCATCTACTGGAGAAGTAGCCATTGATTACTGCAGCATTTCAGACCGAAACCAACTGGAAAGCTGATACACTTCCTATCGTTGTTCACATATAAGAAGTGACTTCCACTCGCCAGTGGTACCAGCTTTTGCCACTCTCCTTCAGGAGGGCAGGGGGCTGCATTGCTGAAGCACAACTGAAAAGCAAACTCTGCCTGTAACTTTTGCAACTAGCGTTCAGACTGTGCTTGTGTGACTGAGGGGCAGCATGTAACTAACTAATGTGTGTATGAGTCTGACCCTGTTCCTTTCTGTAATGTCATTTTTTTTATGAGAAATAGGCGCCACTTCCCTGTGCTCACACAGAGGTTTTGGGATCTTGGCATCCCTGCTTTGTTTTACATATCTGAAATTACTTCCAACACCTCAAGAGGATGTAGGCTGAAAGAGCAATTAGTAGAATATTTATTTTAACAAGTAAACATGGCTCTAGGCCCAGATGCTGTTTCTTAATGTACCAAAAATGAGGTAATTTTTAAAGTTCTGTCTCATGCACCCTCCCCCAGGGGCATGCTCACTACACCCACTCAGGCTGTAGTGCCCTCCTGCCATTCCCCTACTATCAGTTTTTTTGAGTAAGATGGTGGCAAGATACAGCCCTCTAGCATGGGGAGGGTGGGGTTTGGTTTTGGTGGGTTTTTTTTGAAAAGCATACTTTATGCATATGTGGTTTAAAGTAGTACGTGCTTTGACTTTTTGTACTCACCCCAAGATTTGTCCACAAACTGAACTGCAGCTTTTTTAACTGGGTTTTTCTTGTTTTCAAGGGAAAAAAATTCATTTGCTGAAATGGAGATGAGTGTTAATTACCAAGTTTAACACAGACAAATCTAGATGCAGACCTATCCATGGAAAACTGCTTACCCTGTGCCCGGTTGGCGTCTGGTCCATAGAGCTGAGTGTTTAAAAAGTCTTTGGCAAGCTGTTGGTGGAGGCCTGTTAAACTCTGATCTTTTAAGCGCACAGCTGTATAGTTTCCTTTTGGCCTAGTTAAATAAAGAGCTGTAAATCCCTGTAGCACAGTTAGAGAACCCAAAACAAGAGAGACACTAGTCAATGTGGCTGGTGCTGGTGTCTAGTGCTCAGCCATGCTTTGTAGCAGTATTAAGGAAAAAAAAATAATTGGACTGAGACAGACAACCTGTCATCACATGCCTTTATGTGCCCCAAGTAGTTCATTGGGAGTCTCAAACTAGCCCTACCAGAAGCTAGTGTCATTTCTTTGTCAGTGATGTCCCTATAGAGGAATAAACGTAGTGGTGGTGGTGAGACTGAAATGCAGGAATTCAGTGCTCAACAACCAGACCTGCAGCAGCATATAACAGAGTGTCTCCTGCTGTGCTTATGACTGCTGTTATCTCACAGCAGTTACATCAAAAATATATAAAAATTATTTGTATTATTTTTTATATATATATTTTACAAGTACGTTGCATCAGAAGCATATTAAAAGGCGCTTTTAGCACATAAATATGCCTTCCACCAGAGGAAAAGCGGGTGGAACATCAAGTGAAGAAGAGTACAGCCACAGTGACAGAACAGCTGCTGTGACGCTCCCTCCCCAAGCCAGCAAAAGCAGCACAGACAGACACCCTGGATCCTCCTCTCCCAGCATACCTGGCACCCTTTCTTTGCTTGTCTTTCTTCACCTGCCTTTGGACTTGGCCTTGCTTTTGGACTTGGCCCTGTCTCTGCTTCGCAGCCCCACCTCCATGGCGTTTACCTAAAGTAAATTTAACACAAAAAAATCCCAAATGTTATGAATCAAGAGTTGTAAGTGAAAGAGGAGCAGGAGTGAAACAATTATGCTGTGAAAAATAAGACGCCTTTAGTTAACTCCTCCAAGAGGCGTTTTTTCAGAAGCTCTGACTAGTACGAGATAAGAAGTGTTGCCCTCACAGAAGGGCTGTGAGAGGGAGGGGAAGAAGCATGCTGCAGGAGAGCCACCCCAGGTACCGCTAGCCAGCTTTCCCCTTCCTTGGCATCAGCACCACAAAACGGGATTCATCACAGGACAACAATTCAATGCAACACAACAGCTACACATAATGCGCAAAGGGGAGTCCAGCCTCAGCTTTGTTCTCGCCATTAAGTACCAATGCTCAGCATTGAAAGCATCATCCCAAGCTCAACTCTTGTTTGTGCCAACAGATTTTTTTTTAAAAAAAAAAAACAATAAAAGGAAGAAAAAGTAGTAGTTGCACCATTCAGCTATATAATTATCTATGGATAACAGAATTGTTGTTTAAAAAAAAAACCCAAACAACACTTCTTTTGTTGTAAAGTACTTTGAAGTACAGATGAAGAGGGCTAGAAAATAGCAGTCACAAATACTCTAAACTCTTGATTTTCTAAGTTCAGAATTTGAAAAGAGTTACCTGATTTTTTACAAATGCTATTAAATTATAGTATGATATGTAAAGTATCAAGGTGATTAACAACTCTATCCAGGAATATCCTTTATAACTTCAATGAATGATAAATATTAATCTCCCTCTGGGAATCCTTGTTTTTTCTAACACCTGCGCAGTATTTCCTTAAATACCTTGGGCTATTTTAACTGAAATCATTCTACAGTGAACAACTTTTGTAAAAGGCGCACGAATCAAGTTAAAACACGACTTCAGCTCTTCCTCACATTGTTCCTGGGCAACAGCCAATCCGCCCAGTCTGTTCGCGTTTCAGACTTTCAAAAGGTCTCCGTACCAGGGCGCTATGTCCCCATTGCAGCTCTAGCACAGAAATGAAACCCGGGGAGGGGAGAGGGGGGAGCACCGCGCCAGCAAAACTAGCTGTGGCATACCTGGGTCAGCTGCCGCTGTCTGCCCCTCGGCTCTGTGGAGTGCGGAGAAGGCAACAGGTTA